AATTCATATTTCTTACCCGTTCAACCAGCTCTACTTCGCTGGAGCCATAACCGCGTTCCGGCAGTGGTGGTTTGGCCGATCCAGTCCTGTCGGAGGGCAAAAGAGGCAGTGGACTTGAGTTCGACCAGCGGTCCGTCAGACTTTGATGTCGGCCTCTCGGTGGGTCGGTTGGTGAGGCAATCGAGGTCTGTCTGAGAGGCAGAGAGGAGATGGAAATGTTGTCAAGGGGATTGGCTGTAAGCCAGTCTGGAGTGTGCATGTATGCACTGTAGGCGGGTCTGGTGGTTGGGCCGAATGAAGACCGGTCAATCGAGGCAAAACGAAGAGCTGGACTGTCGCTGGAGCAGACGTCGGCGGTCTGGAAGGGACTGGGATGAGTGGAAGTCGAGAGACGAGCAGAGTCAGACTGGTTGAAGGAGGAGGAGGCTGGGGAGGCAGAAGAAGAGGAGACAAGAGGCGCCTTCGGTGGCTCGGATACAACTGACGCGGCGGTTGAAGCGGCGGAGCAGGCGGTGTGTTTAGTCACGTTGGACGCATTCGGTCGACGATAACATGGCCTGCTTCCAGGACCGTCGGGCATGATGAGGCCCGCATGACTGACGGATCGAGTCAACCATAATCGTCGCCCTGACGGTCTTTTGTGGAAATCGACGCTTTTTGATCTGACCAGCGAAGCGGCCAGTTGTAAGAAGACATCTGACAGGCGTAAGGAGAAGGTTTGTAATGTCGAAATTGTATATTATCCGAAAAAGGAGAGAAAATAGAGACCTTTACAAGACCACTCGTAAACAAAAAACTTATTCATGCTCTCTCTCTCTCTATTTATTTATTTATTTATTTAATTAATTATTTATTTATTTTATTATTTATTTATTTATTTATTCAACTATTTATTTATGTATTTATTTATTTATTTAATTAATTAATTATTTATTTATTTATCTATTTATTTATTTAACTATTTATTTATTTAGGTATTTATTTTTTTATCAATCAATCAATTAATTATTTATTTATGTATTTGTGTATTTATGTATTTGTGTATTTATGTATTTATGTATTTATGTATGTATGTATGTATGTATGTATGTATTTATTTATTTATTTATTTATGTATTTATTTAGTTATGTATTTATGTATGCATGTATGTATTTATGTATTTATTTATTTATTCATTTATTTATTTATTTATTTATTTATATATGAACAAATATTTATATGTAGTCCTGGTTACTAGAACATAAATAAGAGCTGTATCAACCTAGGTCGCAAAGGCTGATGAATAACTGATAATTAAATTCTCCCACTATTCTCTTGGTAGGCTTCATGTTTCCATTTATTTGACACATTAATTATTCTCATAGTGCTTAGGTTTCGAAGAAAATAGGATAACTTGAATACAAGCTGTACCCACCCTAGGTTACACGAGGGGATGAAGGTTAGATAGTAGAATTTTCCCACATTCATATGAGTAGGCTGTATATTTTCACATACAAATAGTAACTGGGTTTTAGTGAATCTCCTGAGATAACATTGTAGGGAAGACTTCTATTTCGTATGAAAGTGTGTGAAGAAGAGATACTTAATTGAAGATATGAAGACCAAGATGGTGTAACCTCTGGTATGGTCGCAGTCTCCTTTCGATTTATAGAAGTGGGCTGACTTCGTTGCCGCAATTTGGTCTTGTTGTCAGGGAGCCATAGTAGTTGTCGTAATTCCCAGCATCAGACTTGTCTCTTTGACGAGTTCGTAGCTTGGTGCGGAGAATGACAACACTCACTGATGATGCCGACTACCATTCCGGCGAAACGTTTGACAATGTACCAAGTCGCCCTGACGACAAGACCAAGTTGCAACAACGAAGTCAACCCATTTTAAAAGATTCTTGGTTCGATCTCACCAGAAGAGAACGGATGAATCCCGTGTTGCGGCAGCCGTTTGACTTTACTACGACGTTCAGGTTGACGCAGTCCCTGAGACCTCCTGCCTCATTTTGGATGAAAACGGGCTGAGCTTTCGTTCGTCATTCGATGGACATCATCAGAGCTGGAACTCATTCTTGTAAACGTTAGCAACAGGGCAAGAAGACTGTCTTATATAGACTCAATTAAGCAAATGAAAATTGAATAGCCTGGATAGATTTTTAATGGTTTATTTTCTAATTTTGTTCAAGTGTCTGTGTGTGTCTGTGTCTTGAATGCAATACGAAATACTGGTCCTAAATCAGTGTTCTAAAGACTAATTTCACGTTTTGGTCATCAAAGACAAATGACGCAAGAGAAAGCGCTGACTGAGACGGTCCAAGTCCGTATGCAAATATGGTTGAGATGAGATGTAAGCTTGAAAATGTGTATGTCATGTAACGAAACCACTTGTTCTAACCTCTCTGTCTAGGGTCATTAACTTTAACCACCCAAGGGAAGGCACGACTAGGGTTACGTAATCTGGCACGTCGTATAAAAGCCAAACGGCTGCACTACAACGGGCCTGATCCGTCCTCTTCTGGTGAGATCAACCTACGAATCTCTTCTTCATGCACTTTCATACGAAATGAAAATTCGTTCAACTTCTATTTTCATTAAATATTGCATATCCTTGTATCCCTGCATTGACAGACATCATCAAAGCCGGATACCACTGGTCACTATGGATCAAATAAAATGAGCCAAAAATGAGGGTAGCCCGATGCGATCATATTCACTTTTCATACATCTCATATGGACAATCCTTACTCAGTTTTAAATGAGACCAATCAAAGCATTTTTGTATGCAATCTTTCTTCCTAAATTAAAATGCAAGTCCCAAAAATCACTAAGGGATTCTTTGAACCCCTGTTTTTATTTCTATATCCGAAGCTAGGCCTATCCAAGATTACATTTTCGTATCAGAATTGTCGCTGATGCAAACAATGTGTATTTGTAGATACGGAGAGTAACTGGGTTTCGATTAATCACATGAGATAACATTTTGGGAGTGACCTTCATTTTGTATGAAGAAGGGGTTCGTAGGTCGATCTCATCTGAAAATCGTAGAAAAGCCAAATGGCTACACTAAAACGGGATTCATCCGTCCTCTTCTGGTGAAATCGACCTACCAATCTCTTCTTAACGCACATTCATACAAAATAAAAATTCGCTTAACTTCTATTTTTATCAAATTTTGCATATCATTGTATCCCTGCAAGTACAGACATCATCAAAGCAGGATATCACTGGTCACTATGCATCAAATAAAATGAGCCAAAAATGAAGGTAGCCCGATGCGACCATACTCACATTTCATACATCTCATACGGACACTCCTTACTCAGTTTTAAATAGGACCAATAGAAGCATTTTTGTATACAATCTTTCTTCCTAAATTTAAATGCAAGTCACAGTAAACCACTAAGGAATTCTTTGAACCCCTCTTTTTATTTCTATATCCGAAGCTCGCCCTAACCAAGATTACCTTTTCGTAGTAGAATTGTCGCTGATGCAAACCAT